AGAAGCTTGTGTCTTGCTGAAATAGACGCCGAGGACCATTTAGAGAATAGTTCATTCTGCAATAAGGGAGACATGATATTTGAATGATGTGAACGACGTTATTTGCAGAAAAAAAACCGAGTTATTAGTAATTGACTATTTTGATAGACACGTGAAAACTAGTTAAATCTTCAAAGAATTAAAACAAATGTCCAAAAAAGGTAACCACCTTGCCATTTTTAGTAAGATGTCCGGTTATAGCTTTTTTATATGATGTATTGCTAATTCGTGGAGCAAATGATCTACTACATTTAATAGTGAATTGTAGGTTAACAAGTTTTAGAAATGAAGGGATTGATTGATGTAAGCCACATCAAAAAAGTGATGGTTTTGTTTGCTAGGATTCTTCTCATGCATTAATTAATCGGAAAAGTAATAGTTCTTTATTATCAAAGAAATTAATAGTCTTGTTGACCGAAAAAGTAATGGTTTATTGTGTTTGCTAAGATAATTGATCAAAAAAGTAATTTGCTAATATCTCTTTCATTGGTCGAAAAGGTAATAGTTCTTGATGACGATTTTACCTCAGTATAATAGATATAATGACAATAATGCATTTTTTTTTGTCTTTATGACAAAAAAAAGATATACCGTATATTGATTCTTTCTTATTCTTATAAATAATAATAATTATTATTAAATTCATGTTGGTAGTTTCAATATGGAAGAAGATAGCAGAGGAAATCAAGCACAAGTTAAAAGACTAGCAAGAGAAAGAACGGAGGGCTATCGAAGCAGAAAGGTTTTACGACATTGGAAAGAAAATAATTTGATCTGCAATTTAATCTCAACATCAACATGCCATGTTGACTTCTCTCATCCCTTCTCGTTATGATCATATCATGATCATTCATAGAGAGTATATATCACAACGCAACAAACTTCGTGAAACTGCAAATTCCTTTTATAGATAAAGTTATTACCAAAAAGCATTAAATCATTTTAAAAGAATCCACCCTGAAATAAAGATTGAATGTTGCACCGGATTAGATTTCGTTGATTTCTTACGTAGTGTAGTATATAGTAGTGATGGGCACATGAAAAAATTTTTGGCCAAATATTGAAAGAAAATAAAGTTGTTTAAAAAAGCAAGATTTGTTTCTTTTTACTTGGAAAAAGGGTTTTTAAATATATATTATTGTATATATGTTGCTTGAACGAATGGATTGTTTAAAAATAACATGATACATTCATTAATAATCAATTAAATCAATCAAAAAAAATTGAAATTTAATCCTCATGTCTTTGGTTTGGTCTTTGTCCATGATCAAGAAGATGAAGGTGATGAATTAACAAGTTCGAATGCAATTGTAAAACAAATAAAAACACCATACACAAAAAATATTATAAAATAAAAGGCTTTTATTTATTATAGATAAAAAATTGCAAAATTTTTTTTCTAGATATTTGTTGATGATGCCTTTGTTTCCATCTCTAAAAGAACCCATTCGTCTTTAGATTTCTTTCCTAATATACCACGATCTGTCCAAAATTCCATTTTATATTTAAGTTTTTGTGGATCATATTTCATCTGTTTTGCCAAATCATCCAATTTCCATGTATCTAATTAAATAAATAATATAATATATTAATATATATATATATATATATATGTATAGCATTTAAATAATATACTTGAATATACCTTTTTCTTGAAAATGGTATATAATTGTTGCATGAACCGGTTCTACTTCCATTTCAAGTGTTTTCCCTTGAAATTCCAATTCCAATTGAACTTTGCCGAGTGAAGGTAACCAATTAAGTTTTCTTCTTGGTTTTAAACTTTGAAAGGCATTATTATAAGTTTTCATTTCACTAAAGTAAATAAATTTATTACAGTTATGAAAATAAATATATAAATACTATTTAGGAATATAAAAATTATAACATACTCAGATATTGGAGGCGGAACTTCAAATTCTTCATTATTAATAGTTGGCCAAAATAATCTTGAAAGAATGGAAGTATATAAAATTTCCTATAGTAAATTAAATTAATGATGAGCTTCGTTCATAAATATAAATAAACACAGGTATATTTACATTTTCATTATTTAAAATTATTTCAAGATCTGATGACTCGGCTGCATTTTTACGAATTAATCTTTCATTATTATTATAAATATTTCCATTTATTCTTTTTGAATCTGAAATATCTTTAACCATTACTTCAACAGTTGACATTTTAGATTCGCCAAATCGAAGTTTAAACAATTCGAGTTTAGCTAGCTTTTTGAAAATGATGATTATGATAATGATGCGTATATATATATATATATATATATATATCATAAATGCTTATTACTTTAGTTGTTGGAAATAGTTATCTATTAATTAAATATTGTTAATTTAAATACCTCCTTTGTAGTATTAAAATCAGTTTTTAATAATAGACATTCTGCCATTTGTCTTTGAATTTCTTCGGTGAGTAATTCTGTATTATCGAATAAACTAATAAGTAAATTCGTCATATCAGCTAATCGATATATTGATGATTTGTATTCTATTTTAGAATAAATATAAGTTGCATGAATAATAATAATGATGAGTAAAAAAATCCATCAATATCAGCCATACAGATTGTATATAATTTGACAAACCAGGTCCAGCATCCACAGGATCCGGTATCCAATTATCATCATCATCTAAATTGTATTCATCATCATTTTGATTTTCTATGGGAATTTCAGTACGTCCCAATTCATCAATCAGCTCAAAATTAGGATTTTTATCATCCATCCAACTATTTACTAAACACCGAGCTGCATCATCACGTTGTTTCCTTTG